CAACAAGACTGACCCGACCAAAAAGGGCGAAGGTCTTAGGGATGCAGGTATTGGGTCAAGGTAAGGATGTAGCAAGATTCAAAAGTTCTTTGCCAAAAGCTTACTATTCTTCATTCTATTTTCAAGTTTACCACTAAGTTCTTTTAGTTCATTATCTCAACTAAATATACATTTCCCATATTCCATTCTTTCTTATTCCGTTCTTTTTCTCATTTTTTAGTAATTCACCAGTACTGCATTGCTTCTGTAATGAATCGAGTCTCCATATCCGCGGAGCACCGCAATTCAATTGATTCAAGTCCCACCGAGGATTCCTTATCACACGACATATGTAGAACTTAATCTTGCATATATCAACCTCGCTACTCTGGATCCTCCTATACTAAGCCGCTCTCCACGCCACCCGAGAGCACAAAGACACCTCAAATCCGGCCACATTCCACCCACGGGGTACACGCTACTCCCGCCATCTCTCCACTCCCGGTCTTGCGGGCATTAGTCTCTTAGCATCGGATTAGCCAAGTAGGCTTACCGGAGTATGTGACCAATACTACAAAGTGTCTCGTTCAGAAGATCCACAATGAGTGGTCTTTAAGCGACATAGTTGGCAACATTACCCATCATTCAAGATAAGTCACCCAGCTAGTCTCTATTTCATTCTACATTCTTTCTTTCTTTGGCCAGTATGCCATCTTTGATTGTATCGAAATTTTTACTTTGAAAGCCTACCATAAAGCATACTAAGCACACTACGCCTTTATAAATGAAAACATCTTCAAGGATGGTAAACAAGTAACAAGGTAGGTAATGCATCAAGTAGGTAAAATTTGAAGTAATCAACTTAATGCAGTAAGTAACATAGGTGATAAACTTTTCAAAATAACAAGGTGATGGCTTAATGCATAAACCGGGGCTTGCCTTCGTTGACGATCTCAGGTTCCGGATCAGTACCACGATTATCGAATCCTGTGACAACCGGGGATTCTTTCAGAACTTGCTCAACTAGGATCGTTTCGTTCTCGGATTCTACACGAAATGATAACATATGCTTTAACATGATGATAATGTAAACATGATGCTTTCACGGTACATGAAATGTAAAACACCCGCAAATGATTTTATTTCCCGGTACAGTTGCAAGCTAACAAAACCAACTTGCAATCCTACCATTATGAACCACACATGTGACTTGACCAAATGGATCTTGAAACCCTACTAGTCACAAAACATGACCAAAACAAGATCCAACATTAATCAAACACTTAGGGTTTGCTTTTATCTATTTTTGAATTAATTTGGAATTAAGCCCAAAAATAAACTTGTTCCAAATGATCTCAAAAATTTACACAAGCATCCTCATGATAAATTAGTGTACCAAAATAAATTTCATAATTTTTGGAGTTATACAAAGGCCTACAAAAAAATCATGGAAATTGCATTTATTAATTAATTGACTAAATATTTGAACATTCAAAATTTATCCAAATTTCAAATTTCAAATTTTTAAATCATACTAGAACATGTACAGAAGCTACACAAAAATTTTCAGAATTTTTGGATGTGTAAATAAATTCCTACAAAATTGCAAAATTGCTGCACTATTCAAAATCGAAAATAACCAAAACTCACTATTCTTCTTCCTCGGCTCTTCCACCGACAAATGACCAACGCAACGGCGACAAAGAACAAGACACGGCGGCGCGGCCAGCTCCGGCCAGCAAAATGCGCCGGTGGTGAATCTCCGGTGAGACGGACTGCTCCTACATGATCTACATCAAGTCGCGCATCTATCCCAAGCCTCAGAACAGAAAAGGGCACACCGGATGGCACTCAACGCCATGCCATGGCGGCTTCGGACCCGGCAGCGGTCGATGTAACTAGGGCTACGGTGCAGTGAGAGTCAAAGGAAGAGTGAGTAACACGCTCAGGAACCCACCGTGATCACGATGATGGGCTTGGTGCAGTCGGAGATGGTCTGGAGCAGCCTGGCCACGGTGAGAAGCGATCGCGTAAGTCAGTTCGAATTCCGCACGGGAAGACGGGTTCTGCGCCGGCGATTCCGCCAACACCAAATGATGAGAGCAAGTCGAGGAGGAGCGCCAAGACCAATGCGATCACGATGACGTGGCTGAAACGATCGACGCTGCTCGGACTGAGAGGCCTACGGCGAAGCGGCGGAGCTACACGGTGGCGGGCGAGCGCGAGGGAAAGAATGGGAGCGACGGCTGCCATCAGTGGCTATTTATAGCCGGGATGAGCTCGCCCGGCTGCGACAGCGCACAACGGAGACGCCACGGCGACGGTGACGTGCCTGCGCGCGGGAAAGCGGCAAAAAATGATCGGCGGTGACCCCCCGCGTGGCGCCGTGACAGCAAGCAAGAGGTGGAGATGATTTTGAAATAATTACTGAATCGCCATTGCATTCATTTCTCAAATTACTCGAGAAATTTTCTAAAGAAGTTGAAAATCTCCAAAATGAAAGTTGTTCAATTTTTCCAGTACTACAACTTTGGTTTAAGAAACAATTTCAAATTCTGCCTCCATTTTGAAATTCAAATTTGGGGTACATTTAAAGATTTGAATCATTTCAAAATTACTCCAAATTTTATATGTAAACTTGAAAACTTTGAATACCAAAGTTGATCCTCATAAAATAATCTCCAACTTTGCTTTTTGCCTCAACCCCAAATTCCTCATGGATTTTGAATTAGTTAAAAGGGCAAAAGGACTTTTATAATTTGAATGTGAATTCAAATTTGATTTGTCTTCCTTTACTTAGATTTTGATTTTTGACCAGTAACATGGCCCATTAGGATTATTTGAGTCAAAGGACATATGACCTCACATGATCACATGAAATTTAACCCACATGGTCATGATCATATTTAGGGTTTTTGAAACACATCACATGAAATAACAACATTATGAAATAAACCTTATTTAGTGAATGCATTCAAAACTTTATACTAAATGAATGCTTTGCAATGCACATGATGACATGTCAAATTTTAGTATTAGGTCAAAACACCAGAGGTGTTACAACTTGCTCTTGTCCAAACATTTCATTAATCACATGTTCTACAAATAAACATATGAATCAGCAAAACATGCTTCAATCATATTTTATTTGCTATCCTTAAAAGTCCAGTAATAATGTAAAAATGTCACATCAAACAGAAAGAGGGCAGGGAATATGTCAAGGACTGCAACTCAATTGGGGGTGTTTGGATACGAGGTGCTAAACTTTAGCAGGGTCACATTGGATGTTTGGATGATAATTAGGAGGACTAAATATGAGCTAATTACAAAATTAATTGCACAGATGGAGTCTAATTCGCGAAACGAATCTATTAAGGCTAATTAATCCATCATTAGTAAATGGTTACTGTAGCATCACGTTGTCAAATCATGGACTAATTAGGCTTAATAGATTCGTCTCGCGAATTAGACTCCATCTGTGCAATTAGTTTTGTAATTAGACTATGTTTAATACTCCTAATTAGTATCAAACATCCGATGTGACAGATGCTAAAGTTTAGCAGGGAGAGCCAAACAGGCATTGCAGAAATTAGCATATTCATTTTTTATACTGCGAAGAAAGAAGTGTAAGTAAAAGCAAAGATAATGAGCTAATAAAAGCTCAAGCTGCCTGCCGAAATCAAAGAGGAAATATGAAGTATATGGGATGGGGATAGCCAAGTTGAATGTCAGGTAGGCAGCACCGGTCATGGGTCGGCAAAGAAGCATATACCTATGTATGACTCATGAAAGACCTGTTGTTGAGCACTTCATCATCAAGGGCCTGCCTGCCCAGACGCATTGCTTCTTAACAAGCTGCAAAAAGAAATACTTTTAGCCAAACACTTCCACGCCATGCTCAACACACATCATCTCTGTCGACTCAATGTGAATGGAGCAATGTGCTAGAATCTAACCTTAATGTTCTTCTCACATAGCAGCCTGATATAAAAGGGCTCAAAAGGTACAGAGTGTCATCAAGGTCTGCAGGCAAGAACAGAGTCAGGAAACCATTGCATTGCATTAAGCAATAGAGGAAGAACGCAATGGCATAAAGAAACAAATAAAGAAAGCAGTGGACCATGTGGCAGTGATATTCAAACTCCATGCTCTTCAGCTCTGTTGCGACTGCAACTGATCTACTTGCCATTGAAATTGTCAACTGCAGGTTTAACCACACAATGGAACAAAAATCAGCCACAAAAGCCCTTGTAATAAACGAAGCATTCAATAAGATAATAATAATAATGTAAAAATAAGCACAAATATTAGAAGGAACTGCACCATTTAAAGGAACTGCAGAATTGCAGACAGAGACACTCTATTTGAACTGCATATTCTAGATGACAGGCATCGGATGTGACCTCCCCTGAATCCACAAGATAAGTGCATTATTGTCAGCACCATGCAGAATATAATCTTAATGGCTCAGGGAATTAATCCGGCTTCTCAGTATAGCATAACCAGAAAAAAGCAACGCTCCCGTTAACAATTACCTATATCATAACACCTTTTTTATTGGTTAACAATTAGCTATATCCTACCAGCCTGGCCTAATGTCATATGTGGATTTAATTAGAGGCTGTACCCACAAAGGGAACATGTATTCTGTAGGTCCAAGACAGCATCCAATTGTACTCTGATTCTAGACGATGAAAATTAATAGCAGTGGAGATGCACTAAACTTATTACTTCATGACCCCCAAAACAACAGCATTAATAACCAAAGAAAAGAAGTGCCCGCAGATGTTGGAATAGTGAGTCCCACCCATGGTTATTAAGGCAGTAAGGCGAGGCGTGGCGACCCACGCCCTTCAATTTGATGCATTTTGTGTGCCTACAATGAAAATGGCATATTAGACATTTTATCACACATAAAAACTGCATACTGGACATTCTATAAATAATTGGTGCACATATATTTTCAACCTTGATTGGTGTTATTTGGCAGATCTCGAAACGGAGCTCTAGCATTGTTTCTTTCAACCGGATCCATCTATCTTCAACTGCAAATCCATCACAATGTATTACATGAGCTTAAGCATGTAAGTAGAAATCTGAGGCCAATCAAGATGTAGTAAAAAAATGCATGGCTTCCCCAGGAGTTCCTTTTTCAACCAAGGTAGCTATATTAGAACCATATATAGGGCCTTGTTTAGATTACTCCCAAATTCTAAGTTTTTTCACTCTCTCTCCATCACATCAATTTTTAGCTGCTTGCATGGAGCATTAAATGTAGGTAAAAAAAATAACTAATTTCACAGTTTAGTTGGAAATCACGAGATGAATCTTTTGAACTTAGTTGGTCTACGATTGGACAATATTTACCAAATAAGACGAAAGTGCTACTATTCATCGGGTTGAAATTTTCTTCAATCTAAACGAGGCCTAGGAGGTTTCTGCAAAAACATTGAATGCCGGCGGCGGCCGTCGTCCGAGTCCGCCGACCCCTGCGCCCATCTGTGTGCTCGGCCCGCCTGCACCCGACGACCCACCAGACAGTCTCCACCCTCAAAATAGTGTACCTGATCCTCAAAATTATATACATCATCAAAATTACAAAGGCCAGATTAAGAAGCAGGATGAATAGTGTACCTGAGCTTCAGGCCTAATCTCTACCTCAACGAGCAGAATCATGGAGCCCACATCATTTCCCTTACTGTTCCGTGGAGGCGGGGGCAGGCAGCGCTCGCTGGACGCCTCTGACGTGGATCCAGGCAGAGGAGACCGCCCTCCACAGATCCACGCAGAGAAGATCGCCCTCCTTGGACCCAAGCTGTGGAGCTCCATGGCTTCACGCGTTGCAGCCGACTTTGGCCCCCTCATCGTCGTGTGCTGTTGGCAGTTCAGGAGCGGAGAAAAAAAGAAATAAATCAGCTAAAGAAGAATAATGCAAAGAGAGAGAAAACAGCGCATATACAGAATAGCTTAAAATTGTGTAGTACTGTTTAAGTGATAGATTAACCAAGGCATTATCCAAATTCCACTGATAAAGATCAGATGATCGTGTATTGTTCAATACCACTCATCCTATCAGGTACACAGCGGTTGAAGCCTACAAACCTTATTATCCAAACGTGACCAAATAATACAATATGACCTCCTACAGCTTCGGTGGCTAGGGGAATATGTCAGGGGTGAACTTTTGCGCGGCGCTTATGCTCCCCTTGATCTTAATAGCTCCTCTGCACAGCAACAGAACTCATCAGCAAAAAACTCCCAATTCCCAAATATCCTGAACCTGAATGAAAAAGCAATGGCATGTTTTTTTGTTCCCCTAACCAAATAAACGCAATCTGCGGGTTCATCTTGCCGCTGGTGATTACAAGGAAATCGTTGTCAGTGAAGGAGATGGTAGCATCCGGCTTCCCCTGGTTCAGACGTACACATCAGAATCAAATCTTTCATAATACCGATCCGGCAAAGGACGACGCAAAAGGATAGACCTTTGGTGACCTCGCCCTTCTTAAGGTCGCCCACGAAGATCTCCTTGTCGACGCCGAGCTTCTGCGATGCACAGCGCCACACATGAATTCACGAATCAGGAAGCCCGTTGAAAGCATCTAGCCCCTAGTTGGGTTTCGGTGATTAATGACAATATGTGATTACTGTGACTAACGTGTATTTTGTAGAGGCAATTAAGTTAGGTCATGGTAATGGAGATCGATTGGGCATTCATGGTGGTCATGCCCATACGATGGAAATCATTTCGGTTTTCAAATGATGGACGACAAGGTTAAGGATGGACTAGTTCTAAGTGTCGATTGAAGTTGAAGAGACACTTAGAGTAGTTGAGGACTTTGTTTTTTCTTTGGCCGTACTATTAAGGGGGTATGGACGGGTAGCTCGACCTAGATGAGTCTAGTGAGTTAGGTGTGGTGCACTTGCTAAATCTAGCTCTAGGTAGCTCCAAAATAGCCCTTAGATCCAATGGAGCAAACTTCATTCATATATGATCGAGAGTTGGAAGTGAATGGAGGGTCAAACACTGACCGGACGCTGACTTCGGTGTGACTGGACGCTGGCGCAGAGTCCGATCAGTTTATTTGACCAAGGTGTTTTCGTCTGGTGCGACCGGACGTTGAGAGGTGAAGTGACCGGACGCTGAGGGCCAGCGTCCGGTCGACTCCAGTAAGGTTCCAGAGAGGGAAAATCACGACCGGACGCGTTCGGTCAGTGCTGACCGGACGTTGTCCAACGTTCGGTCACACTTTAAACACTGGAGTTCGGGGTGAACAGACTGGTGCGTCCGGTCAACATGACCAGAGCGTCCGGACACCCCGTAGAGACACATAACGGTTCATTTTCAGCCGGTGTTATAAATACAACATCCATTCGTGTGTGGGGGTACTTTTGCTCATTCCAACAGCTAAGAAACACCTTTAAGAGTGCCAAGAAGAGCAAGGTCCTAGTGAGGTGATTGAGATTTGAGAATCCCAAAGAGAGCCCTCATTAGTGAGATCAAGAGTAGCAAAGTGTCCATCCACCCTTCTCATTAGGCTTGTCGTGGTCAAGTGAGAGTCCGTGCTTGTTACTATTGGTGATCGCTATCACCTAGATGGCTTGGTGGTGATTGGGAGCTTGGTGATCATCCGGAGAGCTTGTGGATGACCCGACTCAAGTTATGAGTGGTTGTGGGTGATTCACCGCGATGGAGAGTCAAAGAATCAACCCGTAGAGATCACTTGATCCTTATGCGGATCAAGGGGGAGCTATACCCTTGCGCGAGTGCTCCAACGAGGACTAGTGGGGAGTGGCGACTCTCCGATACCTCGGCAAAACATCGCCGCATTCCTCCTTCTCTCTTTACTTTGAGTATTTACTTTAAGCAATTCAATTCTTGTCATTTACATTTCTAGAATTGCTATGCTAGAGTAGGATTAGAACTTAGGGTGCTAAACTTTTGTGCGTTAGATCAATAGAAACACTTTCTAGGCACAAGGGGTTAATTGGGCTAACCGTAGAGTTTAATTATTGCAAAAAAAATTAGAATTAGCCCAATTCACTCCCCTCTTGGTCATCTTGATCCTTTCAATTGGTATCAGAGCATCGTGCTCACGTATTTAGGCTTAACCGCCTAGTGAAAGATGTCTTACGGGGATGGACCTCCTATCTTTGAGGGGGATGATTTTTCATATTGGAAAATCCGCTTGGAGACATATCTAGAAGCTCTAGATGTTGGAATACTTAGAGCCGCCTCACAAGGATTCCCAAAACCTCGGGATGCCGCACACCCACAAGGTGATGAGTTGAATTACGAAAAATGGAATGCAAAGGTTAGAAACACCATATTTAGAGGCATTTGTAAATATGTGTTCAACCGGGTGAGGAACCACAAAAACGCCTATGCACTATGGTCGGACGTTTGTGCGCTCCATGAGGGAACAAAGAGTGAGCGTGAGGAACGTTATCATCTTGTCATGAAAAAGCCTAACTCTTTTGAAATGCTTCCTAAAGAATGTGCTAATAAAATGTATTCACGTTTGAATGTTCTTGTAGAGGAAGTCAATGGGCTTGGACTAACTCAAATGCAACCATCCGATGTTGTAAAAAAGATCTTGAGTGTCCTCTCCGTTGACAAATATGGGCACATTGTGTACGTGCTTCATCAAGGTGATCTTTCCACCGCTACACCGACATAAATCTTGGGAAAGATCAATGCTCATGAGATGTACATGCACATCACACCTCAAGATGGCTCATCCTCTGACAAGAAGAAAGAAAAGGACTTAGCATTCAAAGCTAGTCAAGAGAAGGGCAAAGCAAGGCTTGAGTATGAGAGTTCAAGTGATGATGAAGTTGATGATGCAAGCCTTGCTCTCATGGTGAGAAAAACTGCCAAGATGCTAAAGAAGCTCAACAAGAGTGGCATCAAGTTTGATGGCAAGAAGAAGAAGTTCTTCACTAGCTCTAGAAGGAAGCCAATCTCCGAGATGGATTGCTACAATTGTGGAGAACTTGGTCATCTAGCTCACCAATGCACAAATACCAAGAAAGACAAGTTCAAGAACAAGAACAAGGGCAATAAAGATGACTCAAATGATGAAGATGAGAAGAAGAAAGACAAGCCATATAAGAAGAGAGATGGCAAGAAGAAGGACTTCCACAAGAAGAAGAAGAGTGGAAAGGCATACATCGTCGGTGATTAGCTCACGGACATTGATTTATCTAGTGGCTCATCCGATGATGATAGTGACAACGAGAAGGTGGCCGCTATTGTTATTGACTCTTCATCATCTTCACCGCCACCATCGCCATCATACTCTACACACCTATGCCTTATGGCCAAGGATGAATGCAAGGTATCAAATGATGATGAGAGTAGTGGTGATGAACATGCTAGTAATGATAATAGCGATAGTGATGATGATGAATATGAATCACCTTCTTATGATGATCTTATTAAATTGCTAAATAAATACTCTAAGATCATTATAAAGACTAGAGCTAAGAATGACAAGCTAGAAGCTAAAAATAATTCTCTTTTAGCTAAATGTGATATAGTCGAAAATGTTAGTGTTGAGCTTAGAGAAGCAAATGAACCTATGTCATCCAAACTCAAGGAGCTCAAATCTTCTAAGAAAGAGCTTAAAGATAAACATGATAAACTTGAGAGTATGCATAAAGAGCTAATCACTAGCCATAATATGCTAAAAGATGAATATACTACTCTTAAGATTAATCATGATAATCTTGTTATTGCTCAAGAATATTTATCTAATGAGCCACATGATGCTACTAATAATGTTATTAAGATTGATATAGCTACATCATGTGATGATTTGATCATTGAGAGCATTGAGCAAAGTTCTAGTAACAAGGGCAAGCAAGTGGTTGAGGCCGATGATTATGATGAGTTTGTCAAGCTTAAGAATGACAATAAAAAGCTCAAGAAAGATCTTGAAGAGATCAAAAGCCACAACACTACTGTGCTAGAAACTCTTGATCATGATGGTGAGTTGATGCTTGAGAATAAGAAGCTCAAAGAAAAAAAAAATAAGAAGCTCAAGGAAGAGAAAAACAATGATGCTCTTAAGAAAGAGAATAAGAAGCTCAAGTTGGAGAAAGAGCATCTCAAGATTGGATTGAGCAAGTTCACTAGAGGCAGGTATCTTCAAAGTAAGCTACTAATGAACACTGTCATGAAGATGGATAGAAGTGGCATTGGATCTAGCTAGGTGAGTCTAGTGAGCTAGGTGTGGTGCACTTGTTAAATCTAGCTCTATGTAGCTCCAAAATAGCCCTTAGATCCAATGGAGCAAACTTCATTCATATATGATCGAGAGTTGGAAGTGAATGGAGGGTCAAACACTGATCGGACGCTGGCTTCGGTGTGACCGGACGCTGTTGCAGAGTCCGATTAGTTCATTTGACCAAGGTGTTTTCGTATGGTGCGACCGGACGCTGAGAGGTGAAGTGACCGGACGTTGAGGGCCAGCGTTCGGCCGACTCCAGTAAGGTTCCAGAGAAGGAAAATCACGACCGGACGCGTCCGATCAGTGCTGATCGAACGCTGTCCAATGTTCGGTCACACTTTAAACACTAGAGTTCGGGGTGAACTGACCGGTGCGTCCAGTCAACATGACCGGAGCGTCCGATCACCCCGCAGAGGCACATAACGATTCATTTTCAGCCGGTGTTATAAATACCACATCCATTCGTGTGTGGGGGTACTTTTGCTCATTCCAACAGCTGAGAAACACCTTTGAGAGTGCCAAGAAGAGCAATGTCCTAGTGAGGTGATTGAGATTTGAGAATCCCAAAGAGAGCCCTCATTAGTGAGATTAAGAGTAGCAAAGTGTGCATCCACCCTTCTCATTAGGCTTGTCGTGGTCAAGTGAGAGTTCGTGCTTGTTACTCTTGGTGATCGCCATCACCTAGATGGCTTGGTGGTGATTGGGAGCTTGGTGATCATCCGGAGAGCTAGTGGATGACCCAACTCAAGTTGTGAGCGGTTGTGGGTGATTCACCACGATGGAGAGTCAAAGAATCAACCCGTAGAGAGCACTTGATCCTTGCACGGATCAAGGGGGAGCTACACCCTTGCGCGGGTGCTCCAACAAGGACTAGTGGGGAATGGCGACTCTCCGATACCTCGGCAAAACATCACCGCGTTCCTCCTTCTCGCTTTACTTAGAGCATTTACTTTGAACAATTCAATTCTTGTCATTTACAATCCTAGAATTGCTATGCTAGAGTAGGATTGGAACTTAGGGTGCTAAACTTTTGTGCGTTAGATTAATAGAAACAGTTTCTAGACACAAGGGGTTAATTGGGCTAACCGTAGAATTTAATTATTGCAAAGAAATTTAGAATTAGCCCAATTCACCCCCCCCTCTTAGGCATCTTGATCCTTTTCACTCGTCGATATGGCCGGGGTTTCACGCAATATTGTCAAGTAAAAGAGGAGAGATTCGTGGGAGATTTGAGATGGGGAGGAGGAGGGAGAGGGGGAGGAGGGGTGGCTGACCTTGGGGGCAATGTTGAGCTGGTAGACAAGGCCAACCTTCTTTATGAGATCCTTGCCGGTGTCGGTGGCCATGTGGAGGCGCATCTGCTCTAGGAGCGTAATTGATTGGGCGTAATTGATTGGTGAAGAGACTCGGCACGGAAGGCGGCGGGATGGGCGGGGACGCCGCTCGTGGATGGGATTGGGTGCGGGGAAGCTGGAGCACCGCACACATAGCCTTCTGCACATTGTCCGCGGAGGTGAGCGAGTAGGGCGGCCGCGTGGAGGTTGCGGCGCCCCCGGCAACGTTGGTTCCCGCGTTGGGGTCCTCCTCCACCTCCGCCACCGCGGTGGCGCCATCTGAGGCCGCAACCTCGCCATCTGCAGCGGCGGCGCACCGCGCGCGGAACGACGCTGGAGCCACGAATTGGGTGGGGAGGAAGGGCACGGAGTGGGCGTTGGAGCGGAGGGATCAACGGAAGAACGCGAAGCACGGGGTGGGGCGATGCATTGCGAAAGGCGTGGGGCGGTGGGAGGCAGACCGATGGAGCTGAGGGATGGCTCGGAGGGGCAGACGGAGCAAGGGCCACGGAGCGAGTGGCTTCGGTGTCGCACCTGGGATGCATGGTGCGAGCGGCTTTCGTGTCGCACGCGTGGACGAAATAGTTATGAATGTTATAGTTATAGAGATAGAGAATAGAGATAGAGATATAGAGTTTTAAAATAATTTAACTTAGGGCAATTCTAAAAATTGATTTACTTTGGGATGGAGAAAGTATACGCAAGGGATCACATTGGCTATAGGCTAACTGACGAGTATTTGTGCCACACATACCCCTTTTTGCAATAAGTTATTATCTAGCTAACTATTACCTATTTCAGTCTAACCAGTGAGATAGTTATTAGTTTAATATTAACCAATGATTAGCTAAACTATTAGATGAACCCGTTTGGATCCAAATGAGCTAATTATCGACAGCTTACTATTATCTGCTTGGAGCCTTTGCTGTTGTGTTCGTTAAGTGCCACCATGTCATGTGACCCCTTAATGGCTTAGTCACATATTGGAAAGAGGACACTTGTCGACTTCTCATAACGTGAGCTGTCCTGTTCATAGATAAATTCCAAAGAAACCCAAACAAGGATATAGGAGGCAAATAGCCGGAGATGAACAGGTCAGGTGTGGGACCCGGGTGTCATCCTCCGTTCCTACTCCGCTATACTCCCTCCGTCTGAGGATACTAGGCGCAACTCAAAAATTGCAAAGACCAAGGAGTACATTAATTACCGCGTGCTCCCAGAAACGTCCCTTCGTTTCTATCTCGGAATAATTGCGTGAAACGTTGCTCCGTCCCGCACCGTTAGACCGAGTCGCGCGCATTTTCTTTTCTTCTCCCGTCACATGCAGCCAGCAACCGTACGCGTTTTTCTTCCGAGCCCGCGGTCCTTCCAGATTCCATGCATGTAGCCGCGCGCATTTTTTCAGCTGCCGGCACCTGCTCGTATTTTGGCAAGTGGCGCCACTAATCGCTCGTTTGTGCTCCTATAAATAGGCAATGGCCATGCTCGCTTCTTTTATAATCTGTCTTTTCAGCTTATTTTTCAGCCGGAACAGTATTTTCCTCTCACAACAAATCAGCCGGAAACAGTGTTTCGGCTTGTTTTTCAGCGAAGCAAACAGGGCCAATGCTTATGCACGGCTGATAGCACATTCCTTTCTCTATTCTTCCTACTTCGTTTGAACACCATGCCTGGTTTATATTAGATTTGAATGAGCCTATCAACTGGGATGAGATTGAGGAATTTGAGGGAGATGTACATCTATGATTATGTTTGGGACTCCGGCAACGAAGGTAACACATGCCAGGAAAGGGTGAGAGAGAGAGGAGAGGTGGTAGTCACGAGAGATGCATGCAAGTACTACTCGGGTGCATATGTTCTGGGTTGACGGTCTGGCCGCCGAGAGTATCGGCGCTGTTCCAATGGAAGACGAGTGATACCATGTTCAGCAGTAATACGCACGTGGAGCGACGGCGCATGCAGAGCCGAGGAGTCCAGCGCCTTATTTCCTGGGACAATTAAAAAAACGTAGTTACGCCTTTCCTGAGACGGAGGGAGTACCTACCTACGCAGTTTCGTGACCAGACGCAACGGGACGCTGCAAGAGCGGGACCGGGCCGCGGCCATCGTCTGACTACCGAGCCCGACCCACGTCAGCCCGGGAGATAAGCTAGCCGTTGGGCCTTGCCGTCATTTTCACCATGAAATACGTGGGCCCGCGCGTCGGGCCGGGGGTAATAAAATGGTAAAAAAGCACAAAGCCGCACTGAAATCCTAGCTAGATTTGGGTTGTGTGTCCGTTTGAGTCTGCCCTCGTGCTCTGCTGCTCTCCTCTCCTTGCGTGCACGCCGCTACCCAACACGACGTCTCCATGACCTGTGGGCCACGGCTGCCGTGCCGTTGGCCGTTGCCGTCCCATGCCGATGCGGCAATGGCCACACGGATCATGGCTTGTGTTGGAAGGTGTGCGCGCGTGAGCTGTGTATGTGTGTGCGATGCCCGAGCTTTTTCCCCTAGCCTGTGTCCCACGCCTACACCTCTCGCTGTCCCCGCAATGGGAATTATGCTCCGCGCACCAAGACCGCGGTAAACTGAACTTCATTGTTTACTCACCACAGAACGGATGTGCTACTTTGGGCTAATTCCATATACGCAGACACCATTTGAGGTGCAATTTTTACCTATAAAATTTACCATTAACCTATAATATCAGTCAAGGCATGTTTGCTTTTGCTCTCAGATAGCATTGCTTAGCGTTCGGAGTGTTCCCAGGTGTCTGATTTTGGACATCTGGAACTGGAATTGGTGCATGGCGTGTGTGATGTCTAGGAGGCTTCCAAGCAAACAGAGTATTATTACATGTAAGATCACACTTTCCGTGGGGTATTGACTAGCTTTGGCTGTATAGATTAAACCCCCCCCCCCCTCACGTGGTAGTGCGGATGGTTCGTCCCAGTTACATTGAATCCCATTTTGTTTCCTTTTCATGCATTGCTTCTTTTATTTACTCTATGCATTTTAACCTTTTGACGTAGTTATTGTATGAAAAGAGACAAACAAGGTAGATCAACCACATTGTGGATCATGTACCTATCAATGCAGTTCTAGAAAATTCGATCTCTAAGATATGTCTCCATTAATTTTTTGACGTTTTATGTATATGTGATCATACTAAACAGCGCCGGCCTATGACCTTATTTTATTAGTGTTAAATATCTTTAACAAAATACGCATCACACCTTTATAAATCTACGCATTGAAAATATGTTGTTTGCATTTTAATACATTTTTTTTATAAATTACTTTCTCAAGGTTTGAGCATCAGTCAAGTTTATAAAGTATCAACTTATGTTTTTGCATCGTTTATGCATCTAACTATAATACTACTATATGCCATTGCTTCGCCCGATGACTTCATAAGCATAATGGAACACATGGTGCACCTTTTCATGAAAACATGTGTTAACAAGCTCATGTCTTTAACCTCTTTGATTTGATTAGTACGACCGTACACATGGCCTGGCACGGAATTGCTATCAAGACTTATTTTCTCCATGTCTACAAAACCATTTAAAGAACATTTTATCAAGGTTTGAGCATTAACCAAGTCAACAACTGTAGCTGAAGTCTGACTAACACGCAATCGTGTGTGTCTACATACATGCCATGCTTCTTCTGCACCAACAACCCTTGTTAGGGCGTTCCCGACAAGGAGTGACGTCGCCAGCCTACGCCCGACGTGGAAAGAGAAATGAGGACAGAGAAGACTAGATAGCGATGAGCAAATCGACAATAGATTTCACGTGAGCCGAGGAGACCTAAGAGTGAAGATAGAGCCTATATACCATCAAGCATGATAGGAAATAGGAAACATAAATAGTAATATTTTTTAATAATATACTCTCTCCGTCCTGTAATATAGTGCATTCTAGAAATTTTAAGACAAATTAAGAGAGAACATAAAAGACGCATGTATCATTGTTTTATTTTCTAATCAGACGATATCATCAACGTGATTAATGGTGATTGGTTAATAAATGGAAAATATTTAATCTAAAACTGGCTTTTGTCCTCCAGAATGCATTATATTTAAGGATAAATTTTGAATGCTAGAATGCACTATATTATAGGACGGAGGGACGTCACGGACTCCCTTATCTAAAAAAAAAAAAGTAGTATAGCTGACCAAGTACTACCGTCAAATAATATAGGTCACCCAACCCTGCGGGGTGCCTCTAGCAGAAACGCCGTCCGGACATCAAGAGCAGTCGGCCCCGTGTCTTTTTACAGCTGTTTTTGTTCCGTTTCCTCGCACCATTTTTTCCCAATCTCTCGTCTCTCTCTCTCTACTCATCATCATCAGTGGTGTAGTGAGCAAACTTTATTGTGTGCTTGCTTGCTTCCCTTGTACTGTCGGCCTTTTTCTCCCCTCCCCAATCCATCCATCCATCCATTCCCCAGCGAGCAAGCATTGCCTTCCCTCTCCCCGGAGCGGAGAGCCGGCCGGCCGGCCTCCCATGGCCACCTCCTCCCGCCCCGCACCGCACTGACGTGACGCCGCCGAGGGATTGAGGAGCCAAGACCTCCAGCTGGAGGAATCGGCAGAGGAAGGAGCTGCCGCGCGCCCTTCGCCACGTCTTGCGTCGTCGGGGGGCCCGGCCCTTCGCCGGCGACGACGAGCAACCACCACGTACGCCCGCCACCTCCCCTTCCCCTTCATGCCGCACTCCAAACCCTAATGTAAGCTATTTCTGTTCGGATCCGATCCACTCCACAGTTACCGTATATCATACTCGCGAAAGCTTGGATTTTTTTTTTTTTTTTTTTTTTTGCAAATTCTTCTCCCGCCTCCGGTTCTCTATCTTAGTTACTCTGATGACGTTACCGACGCGACGCTTCTTCTGTGTAGGTTGCTGAGGAGCAGAGATGTCGACGACTGGCGAAATCCTGAGGGCGGAGCTATCTTCCAGGACGCCGCCGTTCGGCCTGAGGCTATGGATTGTGATTGGCATCTGCATCTGGGTGGCGATCCTGTTTATCCTAGG